GCGTCAATTCGATATTTCATACACGTGATTTTCTAACGCTTTCAGTTCGTGGGTATGGAAAATAGACCATTCATCATCAAAACGTTCGATGGGGTTGACTGAGGTAAATCACAGGAAATAAATATTTTACTCTTAATGACGATATTAAAACTTGCACTAAAGTTTCTGTAATGTTGTATACAGTGCAAACATTCAGTGACACCTCTTATCCAGTTCCACAATTAGTAGTTTATGTTAATACGTATGCCTGCAAGTTTTAGTCTGAAGTGCTCAGTAAACTAACAGCGAGGGACGTAGATTACCAAGAGTTTTGTGATGTAAGTGACGAGTTGTTTGCAATGGTCAGGTGGATCAGAGAGAATTTTGACGTGTAGGTAAAATATATACGTTGAATTTGTCGAAGACAAACTGATATGATAATTATATAAAGAGCGAGTTTTTGTAAATTTGTACGGGAGTAATGGACGTAGCTTGCATGTGGCGGTGTGTGAAAATTCAGTTTGTTGTAAGATAATGTAATTAGTACTAATGGGAACTGAGATGGAATGGAAAGGATGTTGAAATCTCTTTCCGATCCTGGTAACTGGCGGTGGTCCAATGTTCTGCTTTAAATGTTGCAACTAAAAGCACTTACAGGAAGAGAAAATAATGTAAATGTTCCTACCATTCATGAATCTTTTAAAAATATTTTAGCGATTGCATCTAAATTGTTAAATTTGTAGTTCTTGCAAATGTGGCTGATAAACAGATTACTTAAATTAAATACAGATGTAGTGAACTAATGGAATGTAAAGTGTGTTTGCCGTTAAAGCCATCCGACGAAGACTGTCTTAGAAGGATTTCATGATAATCACCACAGAGTGTAATTAAATGAATTACCGACTTCGGTCTTCAGTTGCGTCCACTTTAAAGACAGGTAACGAACGAAGAGGAAATTTAGAAATTGTTTATGAAGCGTACTTTCCTTCAAATACTTGTATTTATATATATGCCAAACTTGTTTTTCGGTTCGCCATACTAACTCCGTGAACCAGAGTCGTTGAGCGTACAAATAATACTCTGAAGTAGTCAACAAGTTCCTCTATTAAGAAAGTAGAAGGTGCGTTATTTCGCCACAGATTCGTATCATGAGTCAGATGAATCTACTCGAAACCCCCTAAATCCGATTTCCCATTTTAATATTATCCTCCCACGTAAACCCCCATATATATTTATATATTCACACCTGAAACCTATGGTCATGGCTTTCACCATCTTTATAGATAAATGTGGCTATTATTATGGTGGGATTTGGTTTGAATCTCGGCCGGTGAACCAGCTGTAATAAATGAGATATTTATAGGCCAAATTTCCAAGTTTTCTGGAGCAACAGTCCACGTTTTACTTTTACGTTTGTCATACTTTTGTTTCCGAACTTCGTTTGTTGTGACAGGACGGATTATTTGTTGTGTGATGTGCTGAGAACCACGTGTTTCCAGACGCATGAGTAAGAAAGGCCATGGGACTTGTGTTCAACTCTTACAAAATATGAGGCCCTCATTTCCGGGTAAAGAAAAACGAATGTCTCGTGTTTTGCTTATAGTGTATTTTTGTGTAATGCTATTGATGCTGTATTCTTATGTCTACGAAACGACGGTTTACCTATTGCAGGAATTTAATGCACAGAAAGAATAAAGCAGAAATGGAGAATCATAAGGCACAAGATGGTAGCAGAGGATTAAGTACATCCTGTTCTTGAAGAGATAGAAATTTGTAAAGTTTGTTGTTCAGATCCGTTCTGTAGTTTTCAGTATAGTGACGTCATTTAAAAGTCTGATAAATTATTATGATGTGAGCAGTGAGTAGCTTTTTCTCAGACATCGGAAATAGTTTATGAACAGAAAATTGTAAATGGTGAATTCTGAAGCTCGTGATAATTCAGCGATTTAGTCGGAAATGGTATGTGAGTATGTTATATTGATTGTTACTTTGTACCAACTTACAACGGAAATGGTAATTTGTCAGTTAATATCAGCTTGAAATGTAGAGGACAAAAATGAAATGACGTAATTACCGATGCCACTGTCAAATTTATTTTGTTTATAACTGAAAAATATTCACATATGAACACACTGAATTAAAACACATATTTCTGTCAGCGTTTTTAATATTCATTTAAAATGTATGTAGTACATAATGTGAAATATGCATTACAGTTTAATACAGTAGAAGCAGAATTGGACTAAGGTGACTCATAAACTGTTTACTTATTTATTGGAATGAAAGCTCTGAACACACGAATTTTTTTTTCAAGTGAAACGTCCAACGAAATGATTGTATTTCATCGAAAGGTATGTTTTTTTATATATAACCTTGTACCATATGTAAATTTGGCAACACTGCTATATGTGTGTTTTTGGGAAACATTCAAACAAGGAGCTCGTATTTCAACTTTGAGAACACAGTACAGTTGGACTTTGACATCGTATCTGATACACTTCACATTGCATTATGACTGAGAGTGACACAACGGTTTCATAGAAGTAAATATAGTTCGATGGGAAAACGCCATTTGTGAGGTCATGGTGGACTATTTGTCTGACATGGTTCATTGCCAAAGTCGGAAAGGCAGTAAGGTGTGGGAAGTTTGAAATATTGGTCGAATTTAAATTTAGTTGAGATAGTTCCGTTGTAATTCCGACATACGAACTGTTATTTTGTATTAGTAAAATACAGACTTAAACGGTAACACGCGTGTCACAGTTCTAAACATATTTCAACTTGTTCCATTTCACAGATTTTTTTGAATAACTTTAATAAACTCCATTTGAAGTTAAGAAATAAAATGGAGGCTGTTACCTTTACTCGTAATACGTAATGCAGAAGTGTTCAGGCGAAAAAAGATCGAAAATTACGTCATATCGTTTTATGTCAGTGTTCCTTAAAGTATTGATTTCAGATTTAATATCCGTATACCTTTTCAAAAGCAAGTTTCAGTAGATTTTTGAAGCATTCGTACATATTTTTAGTATTATTATGAATTTAAACAAGCCCAATGCCACGTTTTGCATGTGATACATCTGTGTTCGAAAGTAGAATATATAAGTAAAGGGCTATGACAAATTTCACTAGAAAATATTAATTGGAACATTATAGTATATTATCTTAAATATTAAATGAACAAGTAAAATTAGAAAAATACGGAAAAGATAAGTTTCAAATGAATAATGATGATAAGGATGACGATTAAAGTAAGATTAATGGTTATGATTACGATCAGGATGTGAAGAAATACAGGTAATACAGAAAAAATACAAGAGTAATAAAAACATAAGAATAATGATAAACGATACGAGAGAGAGAGGGGGGAAAGGGGGAAATATAAGAGGAAATAATTACAACAATATTTAAAGTGTTATTTTAGTTGCGGTTGTGAAGGTTTTGATACAAAGTCTGATGTAAGTAGGGTGATGAATTTGGAGATTAGAGGGCGCACGAGTAATTACATTTAAGAGAAAACAACAGTAAATATATTTTTGTAGATTTGAATTTAGTGAAAAAAATTGACTTATTCAATATTCTTGGTTACAAAATGGATGCTATTATTACTGGGCCCTTGTTTATATTAAATCTTAATTACATTCCAAGTGGTTTGGGCGTCGAAACATGCATTTCGCTTCCTTCGAAAGCTGTTGTCTGAGGAGATGGCGGTCTCTCCAAAGCTGGAAATTACAGAAAAGAGGTTCCTAAAACTTTTCCTTAATTCGCTCCCTGATACTAGCGGCATCTTATTGGGATTAGTTCTTTATGCACAAGACTGTCCGATCCACCTTTCCGGAATTAAACTTCTAGTGTCAAAATAATCATTTATATTGTATAAACGCCCTGAAACACGGTCATAATTCTTGTCAAGCTTCGAAAATTGCCGTCATTAAAGAATTGTCTACAAAGGCTAAGTCCTGTGTTGTGGAAGAATTGGGAGAACTTTCAATATCTATTTTAACAGCAGGAAGTGTCACATTATGACAAACGCATGGACTCACCCGATAACAGAGCTGATATTTTATATATTGTATCGTTAAAACCATAATTTGAATAAAAATTTACATTAAATTTTGCTGTCAGAACGTTCGGTAGCCTCTGAATTCTGGACGGATAATTGGGTACAATGTAGCTTTGCTCTACATTGCTCTCCCGTCGGTTATTAAAATATTCCTGACAAACCTTGGAGCTATGCATGTTCCTGGAAGTATCATTTGCTGTGGAACATACAGGTATGTGCCATGATCACGCTCCTCGCAAGAGCAAATTATGGTGCGTGTCATGCGAATGCCAGCCGGTATTACCCTGGTAAATAAAGAACCTAGATACACGCGTACGGACGGTCAAGGTAATTGTGTCGTAACACACTAACGCGTATACCTAGTGCAGGCTAAATTGTAACCTTACGCTGGAATTTTAATGACAAAAATGCAAAAGGAGACTTACCGTACCGTGTAAGCCTGTGTACTCCAAATATAATAGCCAATGTCCGTCACGAAATGTACGCCGTTCGTGTGATGCTGAGAAAGCAGAAGTGGCGTCTGTTGTAGCAAGAAGTGAAATCGATGCTATGGTGGTGAAAAAATAAATTTTATATGTTCCATACTTGTTGCAACGGGATAAATGTTAATATGATTCTTAAAGGAATAGTAAGTGAGGATGTGAATTGTATTCACCTGTTTTAAAATTGGAGTAAAAGGTTAAGAGAATTTGATAACCATGGTATTGAATTTTTGGGGATTTCTTCAGAACAGAGAATTGTTTAACAGGTGGTGAACTATAAGCCACCTAAGAAAATCCTTCACATTGGGGTCTGTTGTTGATTTTCATGTTTATATTAAAAAAAACTAACATTACAGTGTCAAGAACCGTAAAAATTACACCTGACTATGCCAAATACAAAGAATTTTCTCATGGATTTTAATTGAAATCAGGTTTTTGAGGTTAGGTTTGATCCTGACATAATTTTTTGTCTGCAGGTGTTGGTGGTTTGCGCGACGTTGCGGTTACAGTACCAGTAGCGGTAACCCCGGGTGACACGGTGACCCTGCAGTGCTCATACGACCTGGAGGGCGACCCACTGTACACTGTCAAGTGGTACAAGGGTAGACAAGAATTTTTTCGCTACGTCCCCAAGGAACTGCCTCATACTCGGGTGTTCCCTTTACCCGGTGTTAACGTAGATGTAAGTACGAGTTTATTTCGATGTGTATGAAGTTTTATGCGTATAGTGATATTGATTTTACAAAACTATAACAATTATTAACATGAATGCTGATAAAAAGCTGGTTTTCGTTTCTCTGTAAAAGGAGTGTGAAATGTTATGACTCCCATGTCGGAGGCACTCTTAAAAAAATATGTTTTCCTTTACAAAATTTGTATAAGGGGTTTTGTTTCCGTTCAAGACAAATTTTAGTAAGCGAATGCTGATTGAAATTATCGCACGAAATTTCAGAATGGAAATTCAGTGGCACGTATTTTAAATCTGAAATTCATTTTAACTCTCCCGGATTTTAGCAACTGTTTTTTAACACACAGGCTTAGGAAGCCAAATAAGAACGGAAGTGTATAAATATCATGTTAAGTTTGGATATACTACGTTTTTCCTTTATAAAATGGTTCAGGCTTAAATTTACAATCAGGTCATAGAATGTGTAAAATAGCTGGTTACTACACTACGATTTACAATAATGAATTTACTATAATAATTACGTTAATACGCGCCGTAATGTCACACTTAATTGACAGATGTTCCCCTTTTAAGTGAATTTTATATTTCAATCAAAAAATCTGTATCATTATCTTACTGCATATTTTGTACCGCTATATAAACGTAATTGCATGTAGTTTGTCTACTGTAATGGCTACCATATTCTGTTCGGAGATCGATGGCTTATAGAAGTGTACCATATGTTTAATACCTGATTCACAACAGGACACGCAGCTGTGCAACATGTCCTGTTTCCCATTCACATAAAACAGTATAAGTAACCTCCATTCATTTTATAACTCCACCCCTTTCGCTGATGTACAGACGTACAACGAAAACGCGTTTGTAGGACTTTTATAAATTAGTCATATTTTCATGTATAGATAAACAGAGAACAATGTTACTTAGTAAAAATATATGTACGAATTCAGCGGATATTTTGATTTGCTTTGTTACGTATTCATAATTTTATTTATAGCTACCTGAGGTGTTATTTCGAGTTATTACTACTTGGTTGAACCTTCAACGTTGGAGGTTTAAATACGTCAATAAATTAAGAGCTCTGAATATAAATGTTTCATTTAAGCACAGCAGATAAGAAATATTTTGAGAAGAATATTATTTTGAAACTGATCTTAGTGTCAGTTGCTTTTATATTGCCGTACTTCAGAAAAATATCAGTGTTCACTAATTTTATATGTAACACCATGTAATTAGTAGAATGGATAACGAAGTGTGCAATTGTTTAGGTAGATGTCTCATGAATGACTGTATTTAGTGTTTTACTGTTCTCATATCATATCTCTTTAGACACTTCCTTATTGCTTATATCGTTTCTAAATTCTGAAGTTCCATTATACATGAAATCGAGCAAACGAAAGAAAATAAAATATTGTAAAATTTTAAAACTTTGGTATTTATGCAAATAATACACACTTGAAGCTAGCTGCCTTTTGGTTGTTGAGCCGTGCACTCTGGTAGAAGTTTACCGACGTTTCAGAGGTCCTCCCTGCGTCCATCATCAGGACCCAACTACCCAGACGAAAACATCTTTCAAATTCCAGTCAATTTTCAGGAGATCTTAGTTTTAGTAAACAGATCTCCAAGTAGACTTCATTAATAATTACTACTTCTATGGAGCAGAGTCCATGTTGGGAAGCCAAGTGTAAGCACATCTATTCGTTTATGGAACCAAAATATTCATTACCGTGTTCTTAAAAGCCCAGCACTGGTCCCTATCCCAAATCGGACTGATAGAATTAACACCCTCCTGCCATATTTCCCTGAGCTCAATGTTAATATTATCCTTCCATTTCAAACTTTCCAACACAAGTTTTGTATTAATTTCTTAACTGTTCATGGTGCCATATTCCAGTATCAACAATTGATTATACTAATAATATTTGGTGAAGACTATGAATTATTGATCTCCCCATGAGTAATGTTAGGCTTAGTTAGAATTTATAGTTTTAAGTTTTCTTTGAGCCAATTTGTATACGTAGCTAATTTTACAATTTAAATTTGAGCATTCGGTCAACAGTCGCCATACATGCAGTCCGTAAACTCTTTAAAAATTGCTTCTTTCGTGGTATGTAAGGAATTGATTACTGATTGTATACTGGCTCCATATTGTGAACATGTTTGCATTTGAGATTTTCTAAGTGTGATGGAAAATATTTTTGTTTTGTGTCCCACATTAAATTATCTCCGGGGATCTGAGATGCCTGCTTGTATGCATGTGTATGGTTAAATGAGTTCATCTATAATTCGCATACCTCAGGTCACTGGCGTTTGGCGCAGTCATGCGGTGGCTAGTTGCGTCAATCTGTGGTGATTACACGCGGAGGTCGGAGGTCGTGAATCTAAAAGGTTTAAATATTTAGTACTTCTAATACAGTGGAATTGAAGATGGTCTGTTGATTGCGTGTACACTAATATGATTAAATCTAGTGACCTTAGACAGTAATGTAGATTTACAGCCTGTTGATATAAACCATTAACAGATTATCTGCTGTAATCTACAGATCAGCTAATTGGCAAAGCCAATTCTTCCAGTTGATGTACTCTGATGTGATGACAATTTTTTCGATATTATAGATTAAATATATTAGGAGTTGATAATAAATGTCATTTAAAGAACATCAATTTCATAAGATATTGTAGGTGCGTCATATTGTGATTTTATTTAAAATAGTATTAAAATATATATTAAAATTGTCCGTCAATCACAATAAAGTAATATAAGATAATTAAATGGTTAAAATATTATCCTTTGTTCCGCATATGTAAATCGAGTATTCGATGCGGAACAAAGGATAATATTTTAACCATTTAATTATCTTATATTACTTTATTGTGATTGACGGACAATTTTAATATATATTTTAATACTATCAATTTCATGTTTAGTATTAAAACATTCAGCAAATATTCAACATTTTTACTATCTTCATCTGTTCTAACGAATGATTTTGAAGTTTAACATGTTATCCACCACTGGAACATTCTTCTTATATCTGTCAATAACTTTTTTCTGTAACGAATTAAAAGGTTTGGGGGTCCGCCATTTGTCTATGTAATCATCCAGCGATGTCTTATTTATAATTTAATTAACGCAGCTACCAGTAGTGCAGACTATGATTGATACATAATGAATTGGAAAGGATGTGGTAGGAAGCGGTAACGATCTAACTTAAAATATTATCCCGGCATTTGTTTGAGGGACTGATGAAAACCACGAAAAATCTAAGTCAACGGTCTCCGGGCCGAGATTTTACCTAGGTATCTCCTTAACAAGAAACTGGAATGCTGGCCTTAATGATGCAGAAAGTGTGGCAATTAACAGTCAAATCAGATTTGAAAATAATTGTTTTTCCGTGTTTTTACTCTTATATACTTTTAGGACAATTGTGAGAAAATAGAAGAATGAAGTAAAATAAAAGTAGCAAGAACTCAATAAATAAATGAAATACACAAGGAATAATAATTAAAGCTTAAGTAAAAGTAATTAATCAAAAGTACGTTTGGAACTAAAAATATCGAATTAAATCTATAGTCTATCTTGCTTCTGTGCTGGTCTAAAACTGATAGTGGCTTAAATAGAATTAAAACCGAAAAAAGTTCCACAGTGATTTATGGTGCATTACAGTTTCACATTAAATCTTTCATTCATAATCACCACCATGATCACTGGTGCATAAACATAGGACATAAAACACAGTACTTAACTAATGAACAATTAACGAATACCATAGACGTGTGAACTAACCAAAGTAACGAGGTAGGCGTGTGTGATATGACAGAGACATGAAACAGAACACGGTTCGCTGGCTGTTGAATGGTAATTTTTCCAAGTGAATTGTGCTGGCTGGGAGTGACAAGGATTACACCGTAGTCCCGTATCTGTTCGATGCATCGAAAGTAGATTGTTTTGACACTGGATGCTCGTTAAATGTACGGTATTTGAAGTTATCGTGGAACGTATCTCTTGATAGCTGTCTTTTTAACTGCTATTTTCGGAGTGAGGTGGTTGTTGTGACTGTACAGAGTTTTTATGTTTAACGATTTATGGATATCTCTAAAAAATTATGATTATGAGTAATTATCAAAAATCAGAGGAAAGCGACTATAATTGAAGAACATGTATGAAGAGATATGTGAGAATAATTTAAAGTTGAATTTTTTTTAAAAAAAAAATCAAACTTTTACAGTCTTATATTAAATTTAATTTCGTGTAAACTGTCTTCTTCTATGCGACTGCATAGGTCCATAACGTCGGTGAAACTTAATTGCCTTCCAAATCAGATAACAGTTGTTAACCCGATTATGGCTATTTCGAGACAATGCCTTAAATTAGGTTTTGCCTGCCCACCATTCATGATCATGTTTCTATCTCATAAGTTGTATAATTTCTGGTGATGGTTATCTTCTGGCTTGTTGCGCCGTGCAATCTGGTAGAAGTTTACTGACGTTTTAGAGGTACTCACTGCCTCTGCCATCGCAGCAAGAACCTCTTAAACGTCGGAAAACTTCTACCAGACTACATGTATAATTTCTGTTAGAGCAGAGTCATTAAATAATACATAATCGTGTGAGATTTAAAACTTTCACTGCGGGAATATGTCTTCTGGGTTGCTACTCTGCGTTGTCTGATAGTTTACCGACGTTTCCGAGGTCGTTCGCCCTGAATATGGAGGGAACAAACACCTCTGACACGTCTGCAAACTTCTGCCAGTCTGCACGGCGCAACGAACGAGAAGACAGTAGTAAACTTCGTATAAAATTCTGCCTGTGAACGTTCAGAGTTACAAGTGGGACAAAGGAAAGTGGTTTCATATCTTGTACCCCTAACTTAGTTGTTAATGTTGTGATGAATACGAGTCTGGGATGTTACAGGTGAGTAAGTCCGGGGCGAACCAGGTGGTCCTCCGTGACGTGCCGATAGAACTTGCTGGCAGGTACCGTTGCGAAGTGTCGGCCGACGCACCAACATTCCACACAGAGATTGTAGCCAGCCACATGCACGTCGCCTGTGAGTATTCTTCATTTCTAAGTCTGTGTTATTGTACGTAGTGACAAGATTTAAATATATGTATATATAATAAAAATGAATTAATAAGAAAAGCTGATATTACTTTGTGTCCAAGATGGAGTGCATATGAAGAGATATTTATTTCATTAGGACATTGCACATGGTAGAATATTTCTTTCCAAGGTAAAACTTCTGAGTATGAAGAAGCTGGCTGATTTCGCAAAGTAACGCAAATGATGTGTGTTTATCTTGAACCCATAGTTAATAAAACGTTGTTTAGGAAGCAAGATTGAATATAATACAGATATTTCATTTATGTTTCAGGGATGTTAATTTTTATGTAATTATTTTTACGACATTATATAACGCAATTATTAATTAATTAATTAATGCTATCCTAACACACTACATTTTCTTTGTTATTAACGAATTACGTGTTTAGTTTTTTGTGTCTTCACATACGAATATTAGACTACCTTAGTGGATAAATTTTTATTCCAGACTCTTGTTAAGTGTTGTGCAAAGTGTATAATTGTGTCTTTAAATACCATATGAAGTGAAGAGGGCAAAATGGGTGGCCATGGGAGAGATCAGAAATCCATAGAGAATTTGGTCATGAAATACAGAGGTCAGAGACCACTTGGAAGATCTTAACGTAGGCATCAGGGCGATGAGTGCTGATTTCCCTGATGATAGGGGCAATACAAACCTCTGAAACGTCGGTTAGTTTCTACCAGACTATACCGCGTAACATCCCAGATGTCAGTTGTTTTAATTCCTGGTGTGGTTGTCTGTAGTAGGCTATATAAAAAACAACGTCACGTTGTAATATAACTGAATTATTTTTGTAATTTATATGATTTTTCCATGTTAAAATGTTATGCTCAGTTTAGTGTTTTATTTGTTTTAAATATCTGGAATTTTATATTACGGGTTGTAGACGCAGTCTCGTGTTGAGTGTGGGCAGCATTGCCATTTTAACACTGTCGTGTAATAACTCCAAGCCGATTTCCAGGATAACTACTGTTCTCGTAAATCTCACTGTGTCTGCGTCACAGTTACGTTGCAGTACCATTTATCTGGAGTGACAAGGTTGTTGCTGTCCACATTTTAGCTCTGCTTGGCACTCGTAAGTCGCCCTAAATGGCGGTGCTCTGTATCTTTGCACAGAAACGGTCTCCGTTGATACTGTCTAGTCGTGGTGCTGTCAAAACACGATGAACTACTAAGTACGCATCTCACGAATTAAGGTTTCTAGTATTGTACATTATTTACGAGCATGCTTTATAGAATGCAAATTACAGTTCCACTGGCGTTTTCGCAAATAAACGTTTATGTATTATGTTCCCGTTGTGCCTAAAATGAACGCAAAGTGGGGAGATGGTGCAGGTTCGCAAGTATCGTCTCCAAAATGTAGGTTTACTAGATATATTTCGATTACATTTGGTACTGGGGGGTGGGCGTTGCACTGGTAAATGTGCACAGTGACCTCTGTTTTACACCAAGCTGAAGTCGACCGTCATTGGCCTGTTAAGAACACGCAAAAGATGGAAAAGATTTGTGGGTGTATCACACAGAATGCCTTGAATGTTAAAAAAATTGGTGTTAAAATTTTTTTAGGTTCTGTAATTAACGAAGTACAAAGAAAATTATTCTTGTTTCTATGCAGCGTGATATATGTACCGTAATTAGCTTTCGAATTAAAGATTCGTGTCTGCAGTAATGAATAATGCGGTATGCAAAGTCGTAATGAGTGCATTTATTAACTAGCGAACGAACACGAGACAGCTACTTGATTTTTAGGCAACTTTCGCCGGGAATTCCGTTGAATATGGTTACAGAATTTTGTGGACTGAACCCCGAGCACGGAAAACACTTTATTGGGTTGAGTAGCAATTTTATAAGCATGTCAATGATTTTGGTCCCATTGACAATCGCTGGTCTTACGTTACATTTGCCGAATCTTTAAAAAAAGTTTGAATTTGTTTTTCAATTATTGAAATTGTAATTACTTTGTGACGTTTGCCGTTTCTGTTCATCTAGTAGAAGTTCATCATCGGATGTTGTGAAATATTAAGTAAATAAAAGGTGTTTTTGGACGAAATTGTAGGATTAGTGTGATTTTCATCTGTAAAATACATTTTTCAATCGCTTTATATTTCATGCGATTCAATAACAGTACATTTCAAACTCAATGGAGCAGATTACTCCAGTTCATAATAATGAAACCCAAAGGTTTGTTACGGTATTTTTTTAGTTTCAGCCATAAAATTTTTGTGAGTAGGAACACATTTTAAGAAATTCTTTTATAACACAGTGCACACTTTTCAGGTTATGAACTTCTCATAATGAACCTCAGACCAATTTGTAATTATTTCACTACGAAATTATTTATTCGCATGTACGTGAATGCTATCAAAACTTAGGCAGAAATTTCTTTACATTGTTTAGGTTATTTTATACGATTTCGGAGGCATACAGCAGTTCCCTTTTTTCAATCTAGACATTTCCTATTTTCATATTGGTTTATATTCGGGATAATACAAGTTCTAGGAAGTTTATTTCAGGTAACGGGAAAAAAAGGACAAAGCAAAACAATATTTGTGCTTTGAGTGATGTGTTTGAGGAAACGGAAATAGCATATCCCTAGTCTTTGAACACGTATTCGTTGGAAATGAACGCTCCGTCTTTGTCTTTTGTTTCTTTTCCGTTGTCAACGTCGATGTTTTTAACTTTTTTCCAATTCCCGAGTCTCTCCCCACTTAGATTATATATTGTGTCGGTGAGAATTTTGCTGATGAAGTTGAGTGGGAACAAGAAGGAAGTGGATACTGTCTTGTGTGTTTGTTTCGCTAGAGAAGGGCAAGAAAAAGAAATAATTCAAACTGACACGCAGAGATGCGTCCAGACTGCTTGATGGAGTAATGTCCAAGGAAATGAACGGGATACTGTAATGTATGTACTCTTGTCTCAAGTCACACGGAACTCTGGGAATACTTGTCTTCATATAGAAATATACAACGACGAAACACGTCTTTCGACCAAGAAAACTCTGCCCTTAACAACATAATTTCAACTTATTCGAGGTTACTAGTTTAATTGTTTATTTTTTAAAATTTTTGTCATGGTCTTGTTTATTTCTCGAACACCACAAAAATGCTGTATAAACTACAGAGGTTGAGTCGTAAGAATAAGAAATTGCATCATCTGAGATTTGAAGTTCTCACGGCAGTAAGATGTCGGTTTCTGTCTTCTGGATTGTAATGTCGTGTCGTGTTAATACGTTGTTAGTTGCCAACACATGGCCCCAATAATCAGGACTGATGTAACTTCGACCCTTATTATTGATGCCTCATATGCGGTACTTCGCCAAAGAAACTAGGTGGGGAGTAACACAGGGAGATTCCCCACCCAGTAGGGACTTAGTACGTAACCACAGGGGAATCCTCATCTTTGACGTCTCTGGCGCCATTCAGAAATATTGAAGATCAAATATTGACGAATGGGCCAGAATTGTTACACTATGCATACATTTCCTAACCTGTTTTCTTTGTATGTGAGGCAAATAGAAACAGGACGGTTGAAATTGAATGCACTTGCGTAAAGGAACATTGCTGAAGAGATACTTAGAGGCAGGTCTCTATGTTGTGTGATGAATAATCAAATGTGTGTTGGGTAATTCCACCCGCGGTGAACGTGAAAGCTTAGCTCTCTCCTTTGAGAATTCATCTCCCGGGTCTCAGCCCTCAAATTCGATGTACAAACTGCAGACCAGCGCACTTCCACACTTCAGCCACTGGTTAAGCTATGCAGACATGCACCAGGTACTCAATGCAGGTACATAAGCTGGAAAGGTGTTAACTGTTGGCACGTAGAGAGCAACTTGTAGTTGAGGCGTTCTTTTTAGTATAGTGGTGATAATAATGATAGTGATTTGTTGAGAAGTTTATTAATAGACTTATAAAAGTCGGTTATCCTGGAATCAATTGACGGAATGATAGACGAATGGATTGTAATGACGTCATTTCAGTAATCGAGCATTTCTGATGATGAATGTGGGGTTATGACTCTTGTATTTCTTACGAGTCCTGCTTTGTGAGGGTCTCAACTGGGAACATCTGCTTTAGGATAGGGTTAACTTGTTAACTTGTGGCTGTTGTGAACGTGGAAGTGAACATTTTGGTTCCAAAGAGGTTGGTTGTTTCCTGACAAAGTGAATGTTGACTTCTCAGTAGACACTCTGGTCGAACTTAGGGAGCGAGTGTCAGAATTTCTGATTCGTGTGCGAAGGTCTCCGGTTGAAACCTTTGCATGTAGAACGGCAACTAGACTGAAGTTGCTTGAGTAATACCTTAAATCAAGCTACAACTGATTCATTGCATATTCTTTCCAAATTGTTATAAATTTATTATTCTATCATTCAGCGGTATATAATATTAACGACTAACTGCATTGTTAAATACGCGATAAATAATAACAATCATGTATTTATGTGCTTGGCAACAGCCAAAAAGGCCAATAACAGCCAAGCACTAACAACAATACAAGATAAATTATAATAATAATAAAAGTAAACATTACAAATACAAAAGCAAACAATGAACTAAATAAATAAATGTATAATATTAATAATGACAATAATTCAATTCAATTAATTTATTTCATGATAATTAACAAGTAAATGAGCTAAATAATATGCCTAAATAATATAATAATAATAACAATAATAATAATAACAACAAAATACTTAGTGTTTGTTTGTTTGTTTGTTTGTTGGTTGGTGGGTTGGTTACCTATCTAACTACAAACACTGGTATATGTTCGGAGCCAAAGTCCTAAGTTTCGAATTCCTATAATTTGTACTCTGAAACATATGCAATACATGAATACACACTTCTGTGATCGAAATATATGACGACATTCGGCGTTTTATCATAATTTTTTCTTTTCAGTGTTCATTATTTCTTGCAATCTGTGTAGTTCTCCTTTAATATCTATAA